TGAGAGGCAGGTGGATTTTTTTATAGCACCTGACACCCGCAGTGAGGCTGCTGGAATTGCCCCTTGAAGAGGGCACCCTACCTCTTGTTAGCCGAGTAGCCAACATGTGTGTGTGTGTTGATGGGAATGATCTGGAAGAGAGGGAGAAATGGAAGGCATGGGAGGGAAAGGGGGGCCTGGCAGGGCTGCATCACCTGGGAAGGCAAGAGGGGTGGGAGCCTGTGCACAAGGGGAGGGTTGGCCTCAGGTAGACATGGTAACTGGGACTAATGGAGAATAATGGGGGGGGGGGCGGTCATCCAGGCTAGACGTGGGGAAAAGAGTGCCCCCGGGGCTGGAGTGGGGAGCCCCAACCATCCAGTGTGCTGGGGCACAGAGGAGGCCGGTGAGTCATGGAAGGAGCCTGGACCCATCCCAGAAGGCAGCTCTGAGCCTCGGAGGGATTTGGGCAGAGTGACATAACCATGCTACAGAGTCTGGCTGCGGGAGGAGGGAGCTGGGCTGTGCGTAGAGGGACGGGGTGGGGGGGGTCATCTGGGGACAGATGAAGGGGCTCTGGCTCAGGGCAGTGCAGGAGTCCTCACAGGCATCTCTGTAGTATTTGAAGTAAAGGAAACTGCGGCCCTGGCGCAAATAGGGAGGACTCCCAGGCCGAGTTCTGTCCCTGCCTCACTCCACCGCCCTCGGTGGGCTGAGACTCCCGGGGGCGGGCGCAGTGGGAGGGCTCCTCCCCGCTCGGGCAGCTGGTCCGTTCGGGCCCCGCAGTGCCCCCGCAGTGCCACGAGGGGGCAGAAGCACACCGCCGTCTTCGCCCATTCTCCCCAGCCACACTCTAGAAATCTCAGACTTTAATGAGGTGGAGGACTTATTAAAACACAGACTTCCGGTCCCATCCCACCAGTTTCTGTGAGTCTGGAGCGGGACACAAGATACTTGCGTTTCTAACCAGTTCCCAGGTGATGCGGATGCTTCTGGTCTGGGGACCCCACTTTGAGACACACTGAGGTTGAATGTTGGGTGGGGATGGGGGGAGCTCTGACCCACCCAGACGTGGCCCCTGGGAAATCACTGTCAACTGGGCAGCCACTCCCATTTGACAACGACGTATTTACTTTTCTAAGCCCCGTTAAATCCCTTTTCAAAAGGAAGCTATATTATTTCATTCATTCAATAAGGACCAAGCCTGGTTCTGTCCTGGGTACTGTTGTAGGTCCTGGGAATCCATCAGGGAACAAAGCGGAAAAAAGAAGTCCCAACCAGAGCTTGTGGCTCAGGCAACAAATAATAGATGTTGCAAACAAGTCAGGTGGTGTGTTAAAACATGATATGTGCTACATGCATTGGGGGGATGGAAGAGGGAGGCTGAGGTGGATGCTCCAGGAAGTGTCAACTTGTGAGTCCAACCTGAAAGAGAGCAAGGGGATTATCCATGGGGGTATCTGGTGAAGACAATGCCACGCAGAGGGAACAGCCAGTGCAAAGGTCCTGAGGTGGGAGCATGCTGAGTATGTTCAAGAAACAGCCAGGAGGACGATGAGGCCAGAAAAGCATGAGCAAGGGGGTGAGGGCAGAGAGGTGACTGGGGCACAGAGCAGGGCCCTGTGGGTTGTGTGGCCTGGGCTGGCTTGGTGTTCACGGGATCCCTTTGGCACACACTGTAAGAAGCAGGGTGGAAGCCGGGAGAGCAAGAGGAGCCTGCAGGGGTCATCAGGGCAGAGATGGTGGCGGCCCCGGCTGGGGGAGCAGTGGGAGGACAGGGGTGATAAGAGGTTATACACACCAGCATACACACGTACTTGTCTGTGTTTCCGTAACTCAATGGCCAGGGCCATCGGATGATCTACTCCTCTCTGTGCGAGCAACTCTAATTCCCGACCTGAACTCTTGTCTCTATGTCTGTCCATGTCTACCTGACCTATCTTTGATGTCCAGCGGCCTCCTGCCACACTGTCCTGGGTGACTACTTCCTCCTCAAACTCAAAACATTGAGGAACCCCCCCCATCTGCCACCTGTAAGGGCTCCTCCACTCTCCCCGGTTTCTGCCGGTGTGGCCCCTCCATTCTGCCATCCTCCAGCACAAAGCCCAGGGCTGTGTTGGGTATCTTAGCTTCCCTGCTGCTCACATCAATGTCAGGCCACAGTGATTCTCCCATCCGTTTCCTCTTTCCCACCCCCACCACCTGTCCAGGCCGGCGTGCCTTACCCATGAATGCTACAGTGACTCCCACAAGGGGAGCCTCGTGGCCAAGGGCATGGGCCCTCGAGCAGGACTCTCTGGGTTTAAATCCTGGTTCTGCCAACTGTGAACTCTGTGAACTTGGGCTATTTCCTTAATTTGCCATATCTCAGTTTCTCCATCTGTGAAATGGACATAATTATACTTCAGATGGTTATTATGAGGGTCAAGTGGGTGATTGGAACAGAGTCTTGTATGTGGTTAGAACTCAATGAATGTTAACTTTTATTATTTATGCAATAAGTCTTTATTGAGCACTTATTTTAGAGAGACCTGCATTGTACTGAGAGATAGTCTGACCCAGGATAAAGAGCGCAGACCCTAGCAATTCCACTCCTGGATGTTTATCCAACAGAAATGTTCACCAATGTCCAGCAGAAGATGTGGGCTTGAATGTTCACAATACCCTCTTCATAATAGCCCTAGACTGGAAACTACCCATCAAGTATAGAATGGATAAATGAAATGTAGTAAATATTCATACAATAGAATACCATACAGTGTAGAGAACATGCAACAACATGGATATTACAAATACAAATATAACGGGGGGGAGGGGCAGTGCCTGGCTGGCTTAGTCGGTGGAGTGTGCGACTCTTGATCTTGGGGTTGTGAGTTCGAAACCCACATTGGGTGTAGAGATTACTTAAGAATAAAATCTTTAAAACATATATATAAAAAACAGGGAAAGGCTGGGCCCGGTACCTCTGGGCTATGAATTTCAGTGGGGTTTAGTCTGATTTTCACCTGTGACCTTTGCCCCCAACACCACCTCCTCTTCTTTTTTTTTTTTTAAAGATTTTATTTATTTGACAGAGAGAGACAGAGCATGAGAGGGAACACAAGCAGGGGGAGTGGGAGAGAGAGAAGCAGACTTCCCGTGGAGCAGGGAGCCTGATGTGGGGCTCAATTCCAGGACTCTGGGATCATGACCTGAGCCGAAGGCAGACGCTTAACGACTGAGCCACCCAGGCGCCCGCCCACCTCCTCTTCTTTACAAACAAGAAAATTCCCAGCCTTTGCCTCATATCACTCTCTGACTTGCAAAGAATCCTGGAGGCAGGATAATAATAATAATAGATTATATGTCAAGTGAACACAGAGGAATTATTGACCTAATACTCACAACACCCCTATGTGTTGGGAACTCACTAGACACAGTGATCCTATAGGGTAGGCACTGCTATTTATGCCCATTTTACAGATGAAAAGACTTAAGCACTAAAAGGTCAAGAGAATGATAGCTAAATTTGTTATTTAAACCACATAATACTCAGCAACGCTCTGTGTAGAGTACTGGCATTATCCCCATTTTAGAGGAAAGGACACTGAGGCACAAAGAAGTTAGGTACCCTGCCTAAGATCACAGTAGGAAACAGCAGAGCAAAGACGGGGCAGGTGGCTGAGCCCACTCTGTGTAGCTCTGTTCACAGCTGCTCGGTAGTGAGGTTGAGGGCCTTGCAGCCAGCTGGCCCGGGGTCCAGCACCACAACCCCAGGACAACTCATTCATTGCTCCAAGTCTCAGTTTACCCATCTCTAAAATGGGAATATCAGTAGCACTTTCCTTTAGGGGTGTCGCAAGAGCAACATGCAATTGTGGATAAAGCCCCTGGCAGCAAAGGCCCCACATGCAGGAATCATTCAATGCAGGTCTGTTGTCTTCATCCTGGCTGTTACTGTTTCTAGAGATATTACGTGAATTTTTCCCGGCAGTGTGTTCAGCGTTTACCCTTGCAGAGCCTGACCCACTGAAACTCTCAGCCTGTGAGAGACCGTCAACCCAGGCTTGAGTCAGGTCACCTTGGCGTGGGCTAAATTCACTCCCCAGTTGCAGACCAGCTTTTGGACAGGTCACTTTCCCAAGCAGTCTCATCCTCTGTGAACTGAAGTTAATTCTATTTTGTGAAGATTAGGTGGCTCGATGCTGCCTGTGATTCGCAATCTGGGGTTTGGGGAGGAGGTGGTACCTGAGCAAAGGCAGCTGTTCCGAGGGGCGGGTCATGCCCATCCTGGGAGCTGGGGTCATCCTTTCCCTGCTCTGCTTTAGACCTCAATGCCCCACACTCCCAGGCTCCCCTGCCTCTCCCCTTCCCAGTGGGGTTGACCAATGGGAGGCACTACCAGAACCTGGGGATGGGAGAGAGCAGAAGCCAGGTCTGCCTCCCCAGCTCTATGGGCTTTTTGTTAGGTCTGTAAGGCTGCATCTGCTCCTGCTGGAGGGACCTGCTGTGATTCCATCTTCCGCTGGCTGGTCCCAGCTTCTGGGCTCTCCTTCAAACCCTCCATCTCAACAGCTGGTACCAAGTGAAAGAAGCCATTCATAGAAGAATACCTACTGCATGAGTCTATTGATGTGAGGTTCGAGAACTGGCTATCCATCCTCTTTGGTGGTAAAACTCAGAACAGGGGTTGCCTTCAGGGGCGGAGGGGGCGGCCGGGAAGGGGCCAATGGAAACTTCCTGAGATTCTGGAAATGTTTTGTATCTTGATGGATTACACAGGTGTTCACGTTTGCAGAGACTTGGTAAACCGTATGTTAAGACCTGTGTGCTTCACTGTGTGTAAACCGTGCCTCAATCAAATTAGTTTAATAAGAAGAAATCCCTGTTTAAATACTGAGAGTGTTCTCCAATTTCCTGGTTGGAGTCTGATGAAAACACAATTTTTATTTTTAAACATAACATGTAGATCACAGAGGAGGATGGAAAGTTTTTATGTGGGTTTAAAAAAAACAAAACAATAAGACATGAGACTCCAGACAGAATTTCACGCTTGGGTTGATTTATTTCAGGCCATGTTCCCCAGTCCCCAGGGGCTATCCTTCATTCTCCCCTACTTTTCTCTGGTCTTAAATGTTGCAAAGCACCAACCTATATATAAAGAGTCTAGCTCAGCGCCTGGCACATTGCAGGTGCCTGAGAAAGGTTCATTCTTAATAATACAAGTTGGGTTTAAGGGATCACTCTCAGGCCTGTTTTCTGACTTTCTTCAAGACAGTGTGATTTCACCTTGTGATTTTCACAAAGCACACAGCCTCTGAATTCTGCCCTGGATGGGGCAGGCTTTCTCAGACAGCATAAGCCGGACCTACAAGCTCTTGCACAGGCATGTATTTGGGGACGTTTTTATGTCACTCCAGGAAAGGAAGCAGGAGATTCAGAATATCTGCGTGCCCCTTTTCACCACACCCCTGGAAAAATAGCCAGTCCAGCCCAGCACCTGCCTCGGCCTAATGATTAAGGGACAGCTGGTTGCCCTATCTGCTGGAAAGCTTGCCTATGCACATGTTTGATAAAGGCTGTGTGGAGGCTGGGAATGGACCAGAAGACTCTGGAAACCTTGGCCAGCCTAGGCTGTGAGGTAGAGGAAGGGGGACTGGGGCAGACATCCCGGCTCTATCTCAGGGTCCAGGTGGACCAGATGACTTGTGAACATTCTTGTCCTCCGGGGCCTGGATGTCGTTGCCCCAGCCAAGGGGGCGGGGAGGGGCCATCTGCCTTCTGCTCAGGGCCCAAGCACTGGCTTGCCTGCTGGGGAGGGCGGGCACGGAACCTCCAGATTCCCAGGCCTGCTCTAAAAGGCACTGTTCCATGGGCCGCGGCCCCTGGCAGGTGGACAGGGCCCAGGCAGGCACAGGCGGCGCTGGGTCTCCAGTCGGCAGAGGCGGTTCTGGTTGGACACCCGAGTGGCCACGCCCAGCCCACAGGTGGTTGAGCAGGGGCCCCAGGCCGTGCTCCACTCCGGGCAAGGGGCGCCAGGGGGTGGGGGAGCGACAAGGCCCGAAAACCGGGGTCCTGGGGGGGAAGAAAGAGAGGTCAGCACTGTGAGGTCAGGGCTTGGCAGCCAAGTCAACCCAGCTGCTGGAAGTGCCATCTTGGTCATGTTGCGTAACCTCTCTGGACCTCAGTTTCTTCCTATGTAAGCTTTCTTTTTTTTTTTTTTTTTTATTCTTATGTTAATCCCCATACATTACATCATTAGTTCTTTATGTAAGCTTTCTAATGGGCGATTGTTAGGGCTGAATAAAATAATAGAGGGGGCATGCTTAGCACTGTGCTGTAAGCACCTCGTTTGTGTCGGTTACTAGGCAGCTAGGATGGTGCTGGCCGTGATGGTCCCCCAGTACGTGGCGGCTTTCTCATTGCTGCACCCCATGGCATCTTCCAGGAAGGAGGCTGTGGCCTGTGTATAGAGGTGCTGGCACCTGGTGGCAAAGCTGCCGGAGTTTCTGAGGCTGTACCTGGAACAAGATGGGGGCTTCAGCACCAGCTAGCCTCTCCTCCTCCTGACATCTCATTCTGCTCTCTTACTATCGTGGTGTCTTTCCTTCTGGTCCTTATTAACCAAATGGTTCTCAACTGGGGGCGACTTTGCCCTCCCGCAGGGACGTTTGGTAATGTCCAGAGACATCTTGGTGGTCACGACGGGGAGTGGGGCTACTGGAGTCCAGCAGGGTTGCTGCTCAACACCCTACAGTGCACAGGGCAGCTCCCATACGAGAGCATCACCCAGCCCGAGTGTCACTGGTGCCGAGCTTGAGAAAGCCTGCGTGATGTGCTCCTGTGTGCAGGCTGTCTGCACACGCACACGGACACACATGATGGAGATCAGATTCGCATCTGCAGTGTCCTATCCCGCTTTTTTATACGTAAGATGAACTCACTGGCATTCTCCGATGTATTTAAGTGGATGTGTCCCATTCCATCGTAGGGATGATGACAGCCACCATGGATAGAGTGCTGTGTGCGAGGCACTGCTGTAACTGCTTTCCTTGGATTTACTCATCCAGCCCTCACAACAGCTCTGCAAGGTGGACGCCCTTACTCTCATCTCACAGTTGGAGGAACTGAGGCACAGAGAAGTTAAGCAACTTTCTCAGAGTCACACAGCTAGGAAATAGCAAAGCTGGGCTTAGAACCCTGGGCAGACTCCATGCTGAACCCACCATGCTCTACTCTCAGGTGGCACCGTCATCCATGGCCCAATGCCTTCTTTTCAGATGCCTTTCTTTAAAAAGACCATGTTCCTATAATTATAATAGCCCAGTGATGTAACCATAACAAATTCTCTAAAACTAAAGAATTAATAGCAAGAGGTAACTATCTTTCCTCCACCTCTGCCCACCCCCAAACCCACATCTCAGAGGCAACCCCCTCGCCTGGTTCTTCTTTGGATAAGCCCTAATAACTACATATTAATAATATTATGTAATATTAAATGATATAAATGTATTACTAA